TTTGTAAAAAGTTGTAAGAGGGGTATTTGCCCTTCCATTTCAAGAGATTTGCTAGTGGAAGGTGGGAGCCTCATCGAAGAGGGGCCTCGCAAGTGGATGTAGGTCATTTGACCGAACCACTGTAAAATCAGCGTGATCTCTGGTTTGCATTTACTTATTTTCATTTACATTACTGCAAACCATTTGTACTTTAATGCTCTACTTCTTGGTCTCCGTCTTACTTATCTCTTCAAGTTAAAACGCAATCGAAACAGTTTCAAATGAAAACGTTACTTTTATCGTACGAAGTTTCTGAAAGTGTTTAAATCGTCAAAAGTTTATCACACTTTACTGCTGCACTAATTCACCCCCCCCCCCTCTTAGTGCCGCTCCGATCCTAACACGTTAACTACACCGACCTAAATCGGGTGTGCCCGAATGACTGCTACCCACTACCGAGGATCGACTAGCTAGTTGACTCAACTTCTGGGCACAAGCTCCTCACGTTCCTAGATGCATTCTTGGTGTACAACCAAATCAAGATGACCCCCGAAGACCAGGAACATATGACATTCATCACAAACCGAGGAGTGTACTTCTACAAGATCATGCCATTTGGGTTGAAGAACGCAGGGGCAACTTACCAAAGGATGATAAACAAGATATTCACCCACCATATCGGTAGGAACATGGAAGTATACATCAACGACATGATCGTCAAAAGCAAATCCGCCCGGACCCATCTAACGGATCTCACCGAGATGTTCAGGACATTGCGAAAATGCTGCATGCGCCTAAACCCCACCAAATGTGTCTTCGGAGTCAGCTCGAGAAAGTTCCTCGGATTCAAAATCCACCAAAGGGGAATTGACGCCAACTCAAAAAAGGTTCAAGCTATCATTAACGATCCTATCTCGGTCAGGGGATAAGTGCCTCCGCTTCTTTCGAATTCTGAAAAACCCAAAGGTCTTTGAATGAACCTCAGAATGTCAAGAGGCCTTTTGCCGACTAAAGGAGCACCTAGCACGCCTACCCCGACTTGCTACGGTCTCTCCGAGAGAATCACTCAGCCTCCACCTGGCAGCTTCTGAGCATGCCATCAGTTCTGTCCTAACCCGAGACGACTCCGGAGTACAACAATCGATCTACTACCTGAGCTACATCCTCAGCGGGCTGGAGATATTGTCCAAGTTTGATGTGTCTGGACGAATGCTTAAGTGGTCGGTCGAGCTCGAGGAGTTCGACGTGCAATATGTCTCGAGAACAGCCATCAAGGCTCAAGCCGTAGCCGACTTCATCTCAGAATTGACCCCCCCGGGCAACAGCGATAATGAGCATACAGAGCAAGGGTGGAACTTGCACATTGATGGCTTGACGAACGCAAAGGGAGGCGGGGCTAGTCTCGTCCTTGAAAACCCTGATGGTCGGACATTCAGGCATGCACTCTGCTTCGAGTTCAAAGCCACCAACAACGAAGCCAAATACGAAGCGCTCCTATCGGGCCTCAAGTTGGCCCTCGAACTACAAGTCAAAGACGTCCAAGTTTTTACTGACTCTTAGCTAGTAGTCGGCCATATCAATGGAGACTACATGGCTCGGGATGCCACCATGACGAAATATCTATCGGAGGTAAATAAACTCATTAGCTGCTTCTGAGGCTTCGCCATAGCAAGGGTGCCGCGAACGCAGAACACGCAAGCCAATGCCTTGGCAAAACTCGCCTCGAGATTAGACACTGAACCGCCACCAGAGGTCGAACAACTTCCTCACTAAACTATTACGACCGAAGAGGTGGCCACCATAAAGGTGCCTTTTAGAGTTCACATGCTCCGAAAGGACAAACCTGTGTGGGTACGTCCATCACCCAAGCGAACAATTCCTCGCAAGCCTATGGGCCGAACCAATGGCCTACCGACCAAATGGTCCCTTATTAGATTGACACTAGAAGGAGGGGCCAAGGCCTGCACCTCGGCCGAGCAAACTTGCTCCCGAGCCGTGCACCTTGGCTATAATCCCTTGGCTCCCCTACGAGAGAGAGCACTGATAAGACCATTTAGTCCCACATTGGTTGAGAAGAATAGGAACCAAGGGTTCATAAGTCCGTCAGGTCTCCCTTACCCTTAGAGGTGCCTTTTAGAGCTCACATACCCTAAAAGGGTAAAATCGTGTGGGTACGTTCATCGCCCAAAACGGAGAATTTCTTGTAAGCCTACGGGCTGCACCAATGGTCGACCGACCAAATGGTCCCTTATCAAATTGGTGCTAGAAGGAAGGCCCAAGACCTGCACCTCGACCGAGCAAACTTGCTCCCGAGCCGTGCACCTTCGCTATGATCCCTTGGCTCCCCTACGAGGGAGCACTAATAAGGTCATTTAGTCCCACATTGGTTGAGGGGTATGGGAACCAAGGGCTCATAAGTCAGCCAAGTCTTCCTTACCCTTAAAGGTACTTTTTAGAGCCCACATGCTTCGAAAGGATAATTCCTCGCGAGCCTACGGGCCGCACCAATGGTCGACCGACCAAATGGTCCTAATTAGATTGGCTCTAGAAAGATAGCACAAAGTCATGCACCTTAACTATAAGCCCTTGGCTCTCCTACGGGAGGGAGCATTGATAAGCCCTTGGCTCACCTAAATATCATAGACTTGTTTCTCAAAGTTTTTGATCTTAGAATTCACTGCCCTTGGGCTTTTCTTTATTGATCTTGAGACATTCCCTTCTCAAAATACGAGATGAAAAAACTTATAAATATTTCTTTCAAAGAAGATATTCATGGATTACAAATAATAAGGGTGTTCTTTGCAAAATATGTAAAAGGGACAACCTAAAAAAAGATTTTCTTTTCTCAAGAAGTTATCTTATCATATTTATCTCTCTAAACTTAAGTTTATCATATATATTCTTCCAAAATCTCAAAACTTGCATTTATAGCGTTATGTACAGTCTCCTTCAGCTACCTATAATATTGTTAGCTTAAACTACAATTATCACTAGTATATACTGATAGGGCATATTTTGGCCCTAGATGACTCACCGCGAACATCACAAACTAGCCATCATAAATGCAACACCATATGGTACCAGAACCATGAGGGGCACGGTACCGCAATCATGGGGTGCACGTCACGTCAAGTTCCAACTGTACAACTATGTGACCTGACCACCCCGAGAGCCTGGGGTGGTGTCGTCTGCTTTGTGATGAAAAAACTTATTGACTTTGAGACATTCCCTTCTCAAATACGAGATGAAAAAACTTATGAATATTTCTTTCGAAGAAGATATTCATGGATTACAAATAATAAGGGTGTTCTTTGCAAAATATGCAAAAGGGACAACCTAAAAAAAGATTTTCTTTTCTCAAGAAGTTATCTTATCATATTTATCTCTCTAAAATTAAGTTTATCATATATATTCTTCCAAAATCTCAAAACTTGCATTTATAGCGTTATGTACAGTCTCCTTCAGCTACCTATCAACTGCCTATAACATTGTTAGCTTAAACTACAATTATCACTAATATATACTTATAGGACATATTTTGACCCTAGGTGACTCACCGCGAATATCACAAACTAGCAGTCATAAATGCAAAGCCATATGGTACCAGAACCATGAGGTGCATAGTATCGCAATCATGGGGTGCACGCCACGTCAAGTTCCAACCGTACAACTATGTGACCTGACCACCCCGAGAGCCTGGGGCGGTGTCGTCTACTTTGTGACGGGGCCATTTAATATCGCAGAGGCACCACCTCCCCCCCCCCCCAAAGACGTCAGCTCGTCAGAGGGGATATCATGCCCCCGCGAGGGTCAACGGCCAGGGGGAACCAGGGCGCGACCGACTCTCGCACACAGGTATATATATCTCCGGCCGATTCCAAAAAGGGAGAGGAATCCACACCCATCAAGCTTGATCGTCGGAGGGGCCAAAGTCGGGATCCACCCGACGAAGACCATTTTGCAGGGAGGAGATCGTCATCGAGCCGCAAGTGCCTTCACCCCGAAGTCATCTCCCAACATGCAGAGGAGGGCAGTCCAGTGGCTCGGACCCCGACCGATGCTAGTCCCGTCTCCTAGAGGAGCTCGTGTGGTGAGGAAGATCGCCATCTATCCTAGCGACGAGAGGACACTTCTTCCCTCAAACAGAGCTCAAGATCGGTGGACCTTGGAGAGCCACCCCTCAGCCGCTAGAGAGGATTAGCCTAGTCCTACCGTTTCAACCCTCGTGTTCTACCAGAAGTTCCCGACATCGGCACGTGGGTCTAACCATGCTGACTCATCAGTTACGGTACTTTTATTCACTAACATATACTATTATTTAAAGCCTAGTATTATAAAAAAATTATATAATATTTTTTAAAAAATATATTAGCTAATATTTAACATGATTCCATCCTTTACAATTGATAATGTCGCTTAATATATGATGCAACCTTGAGAGAGAGAGAGAGAGAGAGAGAGAGAGAGAGATTAAAATTAAGAAGGTACATTGTCATTAAAGAAAACAAGGTGGTGATAAAAGAATCATATTACTCTTTGTATATATGTAACGTACATCTCAACCAAAACAAAAAGCGAAAATTGTACGTGGCCAGCATAAATCTATCTTGTTCCTCTATATCTCACCCTTGATTTCTGCACTATTTCTGGTACCTTCCTGTTGGCCAAAGAAGACATCACCCTAGCAGTAGCAACCTTCTTCACTAGAAGTCTCCATGTCCTGTCCACCTTCTCCTCCTGCACCTTCTTCTTGAACTGCCTGTGGTAATAACACAACACAGGTAAGCAACTTGAGGAAGCAAGAAGGTATTTAGCTGGATAGAGGGGCATGCATGCATGGCTTACTCGCAGAGAGGAACCCTGCAGGAGTCAGGCTGATCGCAGAGGGAGGAGTGGAGGCGGAGGAGCTGCCACATTCTCTTGCAGTGCGTGCAGCCCTTCGGAGACAGCTTCCGGCCGCAGGCAGCGAAGTGGCGGATGAGGAGCTGAAGCCCTTCGCACGTACTAAAACTGGTGCATGGGTAGGCCGGGGGACGGCTGTTGTGCGGCCCGACGTCGGTGCAGCCTTCGGTGCATATGTGCTGCAGGCAGTCCATGGCTTCGCTCAGTTGCCTGTACTTGTCTTGATCTCCCCTTTCTCTCCGCCATCGCTTCCCTCGCTGCGCATGCCATGGATCGCAAACGAAATGAGTGATCGATCGTCATTAGCGAAGACTGAAATGACATGACAGCATCTCCCTGGTTGCAGTGTGACCTCCATTCAGAGTTGCAGGACGGTGTTTTCCACTTGTGATATTTGACACGTACACGCTCATTAAAAAGAAGAAGAAGAAGAAGAAAAAAAAAAAAACATTCCATGACTCTGATTTGGTTCACCCACGAGAAAATAAATGTGGAGAAAAGAAGACAGAGACAATGTTGTAGTATGTCTTTTATTATTATTATGTATATATGACTGCAGTCAATATGTTGTTTCGGTAAGCATTTTAAGGCTGACTGGATTTGCATCTGTCAGGTACCAACCTCTCCTTCCATGTTGTTTCCTGGGAATGCATGATGCCTTATCTTACTGGAAAAATGTCTCCATAACAATAACCAAAAGCAAAACTTCCGTCCTCTTTCTCTTCATCCATTCCTCTTTTTCTTATCCCTACTACTCTTCCAAACATTATTACTTCTCTTTGACCAGTTTCTACCTAAGTTCCACATCATAATGAATCTTGGCAGTTCCCCAGACAACCTATGCTTATGGAGCTAAAACCTCAAGACTAGTCCCGTTAATCCTTAATCTCCTCCTTGAGATATTCTTTACAGTACTTCATCTTGCCCATAAAAATCTACCTTGCAAGAACAAAAAAGGGACAGCTAGTTTCTTCTGTGCCGGATCTGAATCGCGGACTACCCTATCAAAGTAATTGGACATCGATGATTCATTACAGATCACACAAGCATCCATGACTTCTGTCAGATCACAAACCTGTGATGTTTCTTGCAGGAGCTGGAGGACCTCCGTCTCCAGGCCCGGATCATGCTTCTGCACAAACCGCCATCCCTCCGACTGCTGCACCGCCTCCAAGTCTTTGGCCACCAGCCTCATGCACCGCTGGTACAGCCGCGGCGCGTCGCACAGCCTGGCCAGCTTCAGCACGTCCATCACCTTTACCGCGCTCAGCCACGCCGCGACGCCGGCCTCGCACCGCCGCTTCAGCCACCGCACGCGGTACGCGTGCGACAGCGCCAGCAGCGCCATGCCGTGCCTCTCCATCTCCTCCTCCGCTTCCCTCGACCACATCCCAGTCCTGATCGTAATCACCATACCCATTAAAGCTAGGATCATCAGTGATCTCAAAAGAGAGGAGTTCACATGCCGAGATCAGAGTGGCTTTACCCGGAGGAGTAGAGGAACTGCAGGAAGACGAGGACAGCGTCGTGGGGGACGCCGAGTACGTGGATGATCCTCTCAGAGTTGCCACCTTTACGTGATCGATCCAACATCCGCTCCAGCACAGGAGAAGCCGAAGCCTGAGGATCCGGCAGTCAGAAGCAAAAAACTACAACCCAATCGGATCCGAGACACAAACCAAAGAAGGAATCACACACCAATACGCTGGAATGGGCCGGTATGCTTTTCCCGTCCGAGGTCACGATCTGGACGTCGGTCGGCGGCACGCACTCGTTCCCGGCCTCGTGCCATCGCCGGATGAGGCCATTTCGATGAGTAACTGAAGCTGTCATTTCCGCAACTCGACGACAACTGCTTGATCTTCCTATCTGATGGATCTCTCCAAGGATCGACAAGGGAGACTTGGTTGAGAAGGTGGAAGGAGAGGTAGATGGGAAGGCCAAAGACTGGTCTTTAATAGAAAGAGAAGGCAGACTGGATTGGGTGGATACATGGAGAACCTATTGTCAACCATAGATTGCTTGGCCACTAATTCCATAGAACAGCCTGTTGTTTTGGAGCCAAATATAGGATTTGACGTGGTGCCGCGTCAGGAACAGCCAAGTAGATTAAAGCTGCGACTACGGTGTAAGACTTGGACTGTATCGTATTGAGTAATGTCTTATGTATATTTCCTTATATATCGGAACATTATTGATACCAAGATGATTTATGCTTAGGAACTGTAAAAATAGACGGTTTTTTATTTTTATTTTTTATTTTTGCAAGGATAATAATTAGATTCCTCAGTACTTATGGTCGGTGGAACGTTGTCACGCGTGTTGACTGACTATAATAGAAATATATTAAATTAAAAAAGGAAATAAATTCCTTCCAAGAGAGTGGTTCTGATTACTACGGCTTTTAGTTATTTTTGCCACAAATTTTAATCATTCCAATAAATATTATATCCGATGGACTTTATCTCTCTACCGCCTAACTTGGGTACTTTGAATATATAATTTTTAATAATAATTTAATATATGGGTCTTCGGTATTTACATATCTATAACATATATTTCTTAAAATTTCTCAGTGGAGTTCCTTTGCGATTCTTATAGTGATAATTCCTTTATTTACTTAATTTTTATGGGATATTAAACAGGATGCCAATGTAACATATACATCATTGGTAAGGGAAAAAGGGATTAAAAATAATCTTATATTACTAAGGATCATAAGAATAATTGAGTTTGATTCACAACTTAACGATTTAAATTTTCTGTTGCATTACTATTCTTCTTAGACTAGATTGATTGGTATTTAGATATTATATGAGTTTTAGAACGCGTAACGCCAAGGAGAAATGGCCGTGCTATCATGTGATTGTTATTTGTCTAGTAGGAAAATGGATGACGTTTCTATTTAAGAGAGAGAGAGAGAGAGAGGCTTTTAAAAAAATAGTCACACCAAATAGAAATAGTCGTGCGTTATTGTTCCGATTAGAAGAGTCTGCAATTTATTGAATTGCATTATTGTTCTGATTAGACTAGTTTAATTGGTATTTGTGTGTGATATGAGCTTTAGATTGTCTCATTATTATTTGTCAACTGGTAAAATGGGTGACTTTTCTATTACTTATGACAGACTTGTTGTTGTGGAGAAGGCGAAATCATGTTTTGGTCTTTGGTCGAGATAGTGAAGTCTCACCTTCTATCTCCTATCAATGGGCTTCTTAGTTTCGTCTAATGAAATAAATATGTGATGTGTGTTGCAGTCCCCACATGAGAAGCTTCGTTCACAACTTTTGTCTTTTGGGTCCATGAAGAACCAGGGAGTGAGATGAAGACTTGGTACGGAAGGCAGATAGATATGTACATTAGCTTATATTTTTCATGTTTATTTGTTTATATATATGTGTATATATAATCTTATAATACGTTTGAGAAGTTTCTTACCCTTAATATATATTATTATTATATATTTAAAATATTAATCTGGTGGCAATGATAGTGTAGTAAATCATTTATCAAATATTAAAGATTCAAAATCTCATCCAATACATTTCAAACTGGTTTAGCCAATAAATTTTTTTTATTATTTGAGAAAAAAGACTTTGACTATCGATGATAATGTCTTAGCGTTGAATCTCAAATCCAAATCATCTTTCGGTAGAATAATTATGGGAACAATGTTACATTGTAGATAGAGATATTATTTTTATGACATAAATCCAAATCATATTTGGAAGGAGAAATTTTATCCTAGCATCAGATCTCACCCTATAAAAATTAAAATAAAACAAAACTATGGTTTTATCGTTCTAAATTTGAATTTACTGTATAATGATCCCTTTAAAATATTGTAGTTAATTTCTGTCATTTGTGAAAGTATAATTTACATTAATGTATTTAGGAACATATTATAATGTTAAAAGTATTAGGGATACTTTTAAGTGGTTTATACATTTTCTATACTTCTTTACTATAAACAACTAATATTAACCATTCGCTAAAGGTAGTCGACATGAATGTTTTAGATGAATGTTAACCACAGTGATGATATGTGAATGAGTTTATTTTTTCGAAGTGGTTACATATGCTTCATTAAAATGTGTAATAATAAGTATAGTGTTTCCAAATTTCCAAGTTCCTTTGCATGAAAATGCACTCCATTGGTAGTGATGTGCCCCTCCAACAAAAACAAAACAAAACAAAACCAACCACAACTTGTGTTGGATAGTGTCTAGATATAGACACCGGTGATATTTGGTCGTACTACAAGGCTCATATGAGCCAGCGTCACTTCATCAATGAGAAGATGTGATGTCTAATAATTCAGGCGTATTTGCTGGTCCCATGACTAGGGGGGAGGTCTTGCATTTTGTTGATGGGAACATTTTGGTGAAGAAGAAGGTAGAGAAGTAGGCATCTCAAGTTCAATGTTTAGTTTGGAAACAGTGATACTCCCCCTCACCCAAATGCATCCACTATCTTAAATATAATAAATACATGAATGAACAAAGCTGAGACACCGTTTTCCTTTTTCTTTCTTTTTTCCTTATCCAAATACTAAAATAAAATCATCTTATTATTCCTTTGAAGCACTCTTATCTCTCTTACTAGTTGAGAAAGAAGCACTAAATAAAAAAAAAAATTTAAAAGTGCTATCCTAGAATTAGTTGGGATATTATAAGATTTTTTTATTCGATTTACTATAATGTTTTATTTTGAGCTGTCTTGGTCAGAAGAGGAAGGGTGGAAGAGGTTTTTCTTTCTATTAAAAAATATTTTGAATAAAAAAAATAAGATTAAAGTTAGATCCACCTTATTCCAGTTAGGTTTTCTTTTCCCCAAAGATAGATAGATAGATAGATAGATAATATATGAATGTAGTCATCTTCTGTCGCCCAGTGAGAAAATTAATATCTAAATATATGTATATATTTCTAGAAATTCGCTTTTTAAAGTACCAAAGCTCATATATAAAGTTTACTAAAAGATAGATACCTCACCTAACAAATATTTTCCTTCACCTTCTAAATCTACCAATCTCCATGCCTTCAATTCCATCGATTGAGTTGACTTTTCCCTTTTTTGTGTATTTAGAACTTTATTTCTTGTGAAATATATTATGATGCATGAAGCTGATGGTGGAAAGCTTGAATCTATTCGCCTCATTGAAATCGTTGGTTTCAGATACCTATCGATTTTAGAGAAATAGGCACGTAATTGGAGTTTGAATTCTACTTGGATCACTTAATTAAGTCTCCTATGTAAGTGAATTTTGAATTCTACTTAGATCACTTAAGTCTAGATTGGGTAAAATTTAGAGAAATTAACTTTATCCATCGTTAATTCTTGATTTATTTTTTGAGGGTTGTAGCTGTCTGAAAGAGGAAAGAAAATTTATCATCAAAAGTCCCTCCAACGATCAAATCAAATTTTGTTCAGTAGAGTTCAGACTAAAGATATATTTGAATAAACTGTTTTAGATAATATCAGTTCTGTAACTTCAAATCTAATCAAAAAATATTCTTGTCAGTACGATAGATTCCTTATCATCTGTGTGGACTTGAGTTTGATCGACGAGAACAAAAATAGAAAAAAACAAAATAATAGTCTTATCATATCCTCAAAAATAGTGAATCGAGTTCGATTAAAGGATGGGCTTTTGAAGACAAAAGAGAAAAAGGTATTATGGATTATTGAAATACATGAAATGAAACGTAAGAAGGCCGTCGTCCGTCGACAACCTCACCTGGTCCTCCTCCTCTCAGCATCATAGAGTTACAAAGAGCCAAAAAGGACGAGAGAAAGAGAGACATTAAGAGTAGAAGAAAAGAAGAAAAAGATCACATGATTCATGCACTAAGAGAAGGACGAGCCAGCCGCCATGGGTTCGTGCATGTGATTCCTGGACATCGCACCTACCACCCCGTATCTCCTCTTCCACCCACCATGTGCAATTCATCCTTCTTTGATGATGGATGCTGACAGAGAAGTGATATGTTTCCGCTCCTGACAGAGAAGTGATATGTTTCCGCTCCTGATGATGCAATTCATCCTTACTTTTCAGACTACCATTTCTTTCTCTTGGAATCGTCTTCTCCGACTCCGTTGTGAGAAAGAGAGAGAGAGAGAGAGAGAGAGAGAGAGCAATAGAGATCCTAACTCGCCAAGGATCCTGACGTGATTTGATTCCAACTCCAATCAAAGTCACATATATAGATCAGAATTTTAGCTCGATAATCACTTAAGATCAGATTGAATGCGTCTGGATCATGATGAAATCTACTCACGGTATGTAAAAATAATTATTAGTAGGAGCATATGTCTTGGATTGTCCTTTCCTTTCATGATAGATCTTTGATCCTGGTGTCAAATAGAAAAGAAAAAAGAGATATATATATATATATATATCAAATGGAATCTGTTTAAAGGTTGTATTATTTGGTTTGGGTTCCAATGTCGATCTAAGTGGGCGGGCAATGTGTGGGCTTCAGAATCCATGATGATCAAACCTAGTCCAACAAGATGTAGTCATGGCTGATCATACTGAGTTGAACATGATTTGACCAACCACATTGACCAAGTTTTAATTTTATTTTGTTTTCAGAACTGACCAATTTGTGTTTTTTCTAATTTTGCTCCATTACAACATGTTCACAAATTTACAATAATATCTAAACTGTGCCTTGTGTTTGTGTTGAGGTAAAATAAATATATGATATTCACATTTTGATTAAAAAATAATAAAATGATAACAATAAAAGATAAAATTTAGAAAGAATATGGAGATGCATAAACCTTATCTTAAGGCAAAATCTTATTTTTACATGCAAGATTAATTAAGATTTTCATCCTAAGATTCAATCGATATTATTTCTCCTAGATCATGGAGTGACTTGATTAGCCTCTTTTAACAAATCAAATGGAAAAAAATTAAATAGAAAAAATATATCAAAATAAGTAGAAGAATTATATTAAACTCTAAATTTAATGAATTATAATCGTTTATGACTCTATTTATTTTATAGAGGCTCAAAGTGCCCCAAAGATTATCATCAAAGGGCATATGTACAAAGGACATGTCCTTTCATAAAAAAAAATCTACCAAAAAAATTATTTTTTAAAAAATTATATTTTAAAATTAAATCCAATAATTCTTAAAAAAAATTAAAAATTTTATAGATTTAAATTAAAATAATTAATAAGTAAAATAAAATAATAAAGTGGGTTCTCGATGCTTATACTTTGCGATCAATGAAGTACTTTATAAAGTTTAAACTTCACTTAGTATAAACAAACATAATGAATCATATCTTTTAAATATGTTCTTTTTAACCTAGAATTATATTATAAGACACACAGTACAGATGATTAATTGTGGGATTGCATATTAACGACCGGCATGTGAATATTAATTTTTCATAAAAACTTCTTGAGATTGTCACATGTGTTTACAAATACCCTCATATAAGAGAGCCGAATGTTCATAGAGTCATATCTTACAAAAAATATCACCTAGAGCCTTTTTCAGAATTAAAACTCTACCTTTACCATTGTATAAGAGCAATAAACATTTAAGAATAGGAGTTGAAGTTATACTTCATTTATGTACTAATGTGTTTCTTATTTATATTTTTTAATTTATTCATTGGCCAACTCATCAACTTGTTATTACAATTTTGAATCTCAAGTTGGGTTGCTATTATTGAAAGGCTCATTATAGGCTAATCTATCTCCCTCGATAATTTAATAACAATATTCATTTATGCTATCATGACATATCATACAGTCATCTCATTTTTCTTAATGTTAGAATTTATAAGATTAAATATATAATCAAATATCAATAAGATATGTAAGACCTCATATTAATAATAAAATGTCAATAAAATATAAACAAATAAAATAAGATAGGTAAGACCTCATATTTCTAATAAAATTTAATATGAAAGAATTAATAATTTGCTTACAATATTACACATACAATTTAATAATTAAATATTGGTCATAAATAGTATAGAAGATATTAAATAACATAAATATTATCATTAAAATGAATTGAAGTCCCATAATTTTAGAAAAAAAATTAACATCAAGAAGTTGACATAAAAATTATGATGTTGCATATGATTAGTTGTCCTACCAATTTCAAGTGCCATAACATTTTTCTTGATTTTGTATATGCATCATAGTTATCATAATTACATATCAAAGTTGCATATTCATATATCACCACAAGCCCCACATTTAAAGGATTATTGTACCAAAAAAAACAAAAAAAAATCTAATCTCAACATCATGTATTAATAACAATTACATAACTAAGGATATTGCAAGACATACTTGAGTGGATATCAGATGTATCAGAGAGTAAAGCACATGTAATTGATATAAAACCTCATGTTAACGTCTATTTAAGCAAGTCAAAAGAAGTGTTTAGGCTTAAATTACTATGAAGAAAGTTGAGCATACGAGTCATGTTTTCATAGAAAAAAACCATTCATTTTTTAATTATAAATAATTTATAATATACTAAGAGCAGAGATCAATCAATCAAAAACATCGCCAGATTAGCATGATCTCGTTAGAACATCAGTCACTTCAGAAAGTGGACAATAGTTTCATTTCCCAAGTACAGTGAAAGGTTTGGTTCCTTTATTATATAATTTAGAAATTGTATGTCAAATGACAAGGAGATGAGTGGTAACACACGATATCTAAATATACTTAAGATACATAATTTAAATAAGTTAAGCATAGCAATAAACAAAACTACATATCAGTCAATAAATAACACACATTTAACATGTGAATTCGTTGATCAAATTTCTTAAAAATAAGAATTCAATTTTAGAAAACGAAAATGATATTTATATTTATATTTATCTAATGGTGTTCAAATATCGAACTCTAATGGTCATAATATATATATATATATATATTTATTTATTTATTTATTTATATTTATATTTACATACTGATACATGATATCAATCATAAACAAAAAGTAATACTTAACATAGAATATTAATCTATCGGTGAGACTGTATTCGAACGAACGGAAGAAATTACGACCATTGTAGGATCAAATCAAAAACACTATGACAAGAAATCGAAATAGAGGAGAAAGATTATCACCCATCAGTGGAATGTTTAGTAATAACAAATAATATTTTTTTAAATATCTAACAAATACACATAAATCAGTTTTAAGCATATTAAGTATGTTTTAGTCTCATAATTAGAATTTGTCAAGACATCAACAGTATTGCTCATTACAAAAGATCCATAAGATATTGCTCATTAAAGAAGACCTACAAGATAATGTCAAGAGATATCGCTTACAGTTTATGTTTTTTTTGACCCAAGCAAAATTAGGAATTGTATTAAACAGTAAAATAAAATAATAGAAAAATATCAAAACAAGTGGAGGAATTGTATTAAACTCTGAGTCTAATAAATTAGGATTGTTTATGACTCTATTTATAGAGTCTTACCCCAAAGATTATCATGAAAGGTCGTATGTCCAAAGGACATATCCTTTCATAAATAACCATAAAAAAAAATCTAAAATTTTAAATTAAATCCAACACTTGGAACTCAATAATTGACTTTTTTGGTTCTTAGGATCCCCAATCTTATTACACTCCATCCAAATTTAATTAATTTTCACCATTTTATTAAGTAAATCAACTTAACTTCCCTACAAACATATGATAGCAAAAAATACCATTAAAAGGAAACATATTTTTATTCATAATTCAAATAAGCACCACAAGCTACCTCCCATCTAAGGAAGATTCCAATACATCAAATGTGTTTTCATTTCATGGTCAATAAAGCAGCAGCAGTTAAATCTCCCCCCGTCTCTCTCAAAGCTCATAGCTCATAGCTCATAGCTCATAGCTCATCCTTGAGAGGCAACTCCATGTTGCTACAGTTGAGTGATGCTTTAACGGGATATGAGGCCTCCATGGCAATCCCACACAGCCCCTCTGGAGCTGAGACCCCACGCTCCATCCTTATATAACCCCTCTCTCCCCACTCAGGCCCCCATGAGTTCTTCACTATCCAATACGTTGTCCCATCATGTGTTGTTCCATACCCTACAACTGCAACTCCATGGTCCAAAGCTGTACCACAGTCACCTGTGAAGACACCCTGCCATACATGTACGCAGACACAGGAGTAGACTTGTAAGCTAAAGAGATCAGTACAAAGTACGTGGGTGCTTTTGGTTTTAGCATGACAGAGAGCATTAATGGTGGAGATTAGACCTCAGAGTAGAACTGGAAATCTGGACCGCTTGCTTCCACGGCTACGGAAACAGGTTGGTTCGCCACTGCCTTCATCAGAGCTTCCTCGTCGTTCACGGGAACGTCCTCGTACCCGTCGATCACAACCACATGGCAACCCTTCTGTAAGATCAGCATGACAAGATGCAGGTTTAGAGTTATTAGTTCGTACAATGGTTGATCGAATGCGGTTACCTTGATGACATTGCATTTGGTTTGTTTGGCTAAGTAGGGGTAGTCTGCCTCGGTTGTGATGCCTCCGTTTGTTTTGATGAACTCGAATGCGTAGTCCATTAGACCTCCTCTGCATCCATGGTCTTGCTTGTCACAGTTGACTAGTTCTTGCTCCGATAAGGGGACGAGCTCATTAGTTCTGATCTGGTTTATCCCCTCCACCGCAGCAACAGCCGAGAAAGCCCAGCAACTCCCTGCGAGATCAATACATTTGCAATGAATGGAGTGACAACGAGTGTGGTTTAGCGTCATCGCTGTTACCGCAGTGGCCTTGGTTCTTGACGCCCGTGACGGCGCGCTTGTCCCGCCAGTCGACGGAGGAAGGCAGGTCGCCGGCATCCTCGTACATGAATCCTCCGCTGCTGTCGCGGCCGCCCCTGAGCATCCGGTGGTGGTCGATCTTGGACCCGGCGAACGTCCCCCGGAATTCTTCCCTGGTCATATCCCCGAACTTGTTCAGGCCGAGCTTGTAAGGCTTGTCGTTCTTGTTGGACTCGTGAATGTACGCCACGTTGGCTTTGAACACGTTGAACCGCCTGAGCTTCTCGTCGAGGTCGCGGGACACCGTATGGTGGCTCCGCCACCGCTCGTACAGGTCCCACAGGCTCTCCTCCGACGCCAAGTCCTTATCGGTGAAGGGGATGCTGTCGGCCGTCGCGAGGGCCAGCGCGATCGCCATGACCAACGACAAGGCCCTCCTCCACATTGTGACGACGCTCCGTGATATGTGTGTGAGAGATCAAGGTGCAGAAAGGGACTACTTTATAGAGCGGAGGAAGACGATCGATCCCTGCAGTGTGAAGCAACGATGTGGGGAATGATTAAGAGTAAGACGTGCACATCAGATGGACTCGGTTAGCTGACATGTGATGGGAAGGTGTAAGCAAAGAAGACTAATAATGTGGAATATTAAGATGGAAGTATGCAGCTGCAATCTTGTCCTTTCTAGAATTCAGATGGGAGATTTCAACAAACACTTTGTTCACCAGATCATGTTCTGCTGTTTCAAGGATTCATGCTTCAGGATAGCTGGGAAGGCCCTGAAGCCACAGAAGCAATTAGGTATTGCCAATGTCATGTTTTGGAATCGGGCCACCGGGAACTCAAAATAGCTCATGCAACAAATGAAGTGTCCCTCTCCTTGCGTAACTGTCTTGTCTTCACTCCAAACCATGAAAGTTTTGGCAGTAACCCTAGCATAAGGTTGTTTGCATTCCTCTTCCCTTGATGAACGTTTGCGAGTCTCTTTCGAAACCCTAAATCGATTCAACTAGCAGAGTGACCATTGATGATAACAAAATGACAATTCCAGCAGAGATAAACTCACCTCCTAGTTTTGCTGAGAAGTAAAAGAGAACATGACAGTTTCTTCTTCACTAGTGAAGCTCATTCATTTAGCAGAAAAGATACAGTTTTAGTAAATCTTGGAGATGAGAATTGTTGAGCATCTGAAGTACGTTCTTTAAGAGGCATATCGGGATGGAGACCAATTCCCCAAGTTTGATCTGGCCGTTTAAGCCAGAGCAGAATCTTAAATACTCAACCTATCTGATTGCTATTAGTCAGTACAAATGCAAAACTTATTACCGACATTTCGTTTAGCCTTGGTTGAGTTATTGAAGAAATGGTAGGGTGGGTTTGCAGTTGGATCCAATCGATCCTGTTGGTGGGCTTGGACAAATTTGGGCCACGAGCCCAAATCAAAGAAATCAAGAGAGAAAGGGAAAAATTGTGTGACGGCGGCGTGAGTGGGTGAGTGAACGCGTGCAGCGTGCGGGCAGAGAAAAGAGGAGAGAGAATGTAAGGTTTCTGAGTTTTCTGCTTGACGATCTGTGGTCAAACGTTGTCAGTTTCGGCCCAAATTTTATGTGGAGAATCCTTGTAGCAAACTATACAATCCTAATGGTGTTGATTTGTAGTTTACCCTCTCTAAGGTACTTTCCTGTGATATCCACTCTATGAGACTTAGAATTCTCTTTTGAGGAGATCTATCTATATGCTAGAGCCAAGATCTATGTTCTTGATGTTATTCTGATCCTCTAGTTATTCTAGAGAAGACCTACTGTAAACCTGTTATCATTATTATTGATAGTGAAAGTTTGAGATGGACTACGGTCCCGTGATTTTTCCCATATTGGGTTTCCATGTTAAAAAAATTTGGTCTCACTGTGTGGTTGATTTTTGCTCTATTGTTTATGCTGTGCTGGTTGATATTTTCATTTGGATATCAAGTTGGTATTTTGATGAGGAACCCATTTTGATACACAAAGAGGGAAAAGAATATTCCGCTTTAATAGGTTTTTCCCAACAAGTGGTATTAGAGCAACAGGTTATTTGGTGCTAGTTTTTCTTGTGTGATTGAAATGGAGCAGTCAGATGGTATGATTAAATTGAACTCATCAAATTATTCCACTTGGAGGCGTCTGATGGAAGATTTACTATATTGCAAAGATTTGTATAAGCATATCAAGGTTAAAGATAAACCTTCTACTATGGACGATGAAAAATTGGGAAGTTCAATAAAGAAAAGCTATTGCCTATATTAGAAGATGGATGGATATAAACTTGCATGAGTATATTTCCGATGAAACCAGAGCTGATGTTGTTTGGCAAAGGTTAGAAAACCTCTTTGCGAAAAAGATAGTGGGAAATAAAATTTCTCTCCTCAGAAGGCTTGTAAATTTGAAGTATAAAGATGGTGGTAACATTGTTGAGCACATAAGCCTATTTCAGAGTCTTGCAAACAAGTTGGTTGCTATGAAAATAAATATAGATGATGAGATGCAGGGATTATTACTTCTCAGCTCTTTACCAGAAAGTTGGGAAACGTATGTGGTGACTATTTGTAACTCCACGCCAGAGGGGACTCTAACTATAGATATGGTTAAAGACAGTTTGCTAAATGAAGATGCCAGAAGGAAAGTGTTAGGATCAAGAGCATTAAGAGGGGGGGTGAATTAGTGCAGCGGAAAACTTTTGACGATTAAAAAAGTGTTCGTACGATAAAAGTGATTTCAGTAAGAAAGTCGATTCGTAAATCACTTTAACTTTTTATTAAGCGAGATGCAGCAAAGATATAAATGCAGTTTGCAGTTATGGTTCAAATCAGATAGTAGGCGCAAACTGAAATATGATATTCGTACGAAAAAACTGATTTACGTCTAAATGCTGATTCGTAAATCACTTAATTAAGCGAGATGCAGTTAAAGCAAGGATATAAAGGCAGTTTGCAGTTATGATAGAAATCAAAACGTAAGCGCAAACTGAAATATGATGATCATACGATAAAACTGATTTACGTCTAAACGCCGATTCGGAAAGTGCAAAGCTTGAAACCCAATCGTATATGCGCAGAAAGCAGTAAGCTTTTAAGGACGTTTGCAGTAAA